CCCCATCAGAAAGATAACTTACCAGAAAACGCTGCTTTCCTCTAATGTAGATTAAAACGAACACCTACGGCACACCGGACACCGGTTCATCTTATCGGGGCGCAGCGAGCGCCTAAATGCCAACAGAAATCAATGCAGCCAGAGTTAAAGGTGGATTCCAGCAACATTTCTGTAGAGAAACTTGCCCACTTTGATGTCTTTACAGTGGTGGTGATGGGAACCAGGGGTCACAACACTGATACAGCCATTTTATTTACTATCCAGAACCACCAGTGAACCTACACGAGTCTTCTGAGTGTCTATGTAGAATGTTGATGATGGTAAAAGTGGAAAATCTGAAAAAAAAAATGTAAAACATATATGTACATAAATATACATACATATAGATTATCTTGTATTAATAATATATAATTAAGCTCATTGAAAACAATGTCTCAGACAATGGGCGCAGGGTTCTTTAGTAAAGAAATGGTTCTATATGGAACCATGAACACTCAAAGAACCCTTTGCATGACTGAAGGGTTTCTTGCATCATCAAATGGTTCTTCAGATTGAGAGTGAATGTGCTATAGATGGTTCTATATAGAACCGTTTTTTGAAAAGCGTCCTATGTAGCACCAAAAGGGTTCTTCTATTGTTACAAGATTGACATAGTAACTGTAGAAGAACCTTTTTTATGTTGCAAAGACCCCTTTCATCATGCAGAGGGTTCTTTGAATATTCTTGGTTCTATATAGAACCATTTTCTTTACCAAAGAACCCTTAAATCACCTTCAAATCATTAAATGGTTCTTCAGATTGACAGAGAATGTGCTGTAGATGGTTCTATATAGAACCCCTTTCTTAGCAAAAAGGGTTCCACTATTGTTACAAACCAAATAACCTTTTTTGGTACTATCTAGAACCCTTGTTGCCAAGAATGCAGTGAATTCATAACCATTTCATGTAGTAACTTTCTGTGAGGGAGCTTTTAGAGGTGGACGTCTGGTTCCTATCACCACCACTGTGAACAGTTCTGACTCGGTAAGTTTATCTAGAAACCAAACCGCTCTGAATGACTCTGTTTGCATCTTAACCACTTAATTATGCAGAAATTTTAATTAAAAGTTTGCATATTTGGTCCATAATCGAGGCTGGTGATTGGCTGATGAGCGTGTCATTAACATAAATACAAATACAAATAGCAAACAGCTCCATACGCAGCCTTCATAGCGCCACACTAAGCATTAATAAACAGCTTATGTCTCGCAACATGACATGAGTTGTCTAATAAAGTAGCTGATAATATGATTCATGATACATGTGCTCCATTTATAAGACTGTTATGAAGCATTATTACGCAGCCCCCTTAAAAAGTGTCTTTTCAAGGGTTCTTTAGTAAAGGCAGCGGTTCTATATAGAACCATAAACACTTAGAGAAGCATCTGAACGCAAAAATTATTCTTTGCATGCTCAGATGGTTCTTCTCACAGATGGAAACGCTGTTGAACAGAGTTTTATAAACTTTTTTTAAAAAGTTCTGCTGTTGTTCCAACTCATAGAACCATTTTGTTGGGTTCTACATGGAACCATTTTTGTTTAGAATGTAGTGAAGATCACTGAATATCAGTTCTGTGGAACATTTCCAAGATTTCCTTGTTTTGCTTTTAGTCTGAGGGCGTTAGATGAACTAGGCCTGTGCTTTATAAGTTGTTTATAACAGTGTTATAAAGGGAAGAAATGTCAGTCACTTCAGTTTATGTCAATACAAAGTCATTTATTAGCGAATACTGCTCAGAAACACCCAAATGTTGCTTTTTTATGTGTTATTTAATGCTTATGCCTGTTTTATGAAGCTCTTACGCAGGTAGTCCTCAAATACTGTATGTATTTTTTATATTTAAAGATTGTATGGAAAAAAAATATCACAGTCAAAGTGAGGAATCGATATCGAAAGTCGAGGTATCAGCTTTGGTATCAGTATCAAAACTTTGTGAGCAGTAATTAGTGTAACTAACACAGGGTTTTCTCTGATTCAGTTGCTGAAGATGTACAAATACACGATATACATTATTAATATTTACAACAATAACATCACTCAGTGTTTATATCATTATTATAACTCAGAATAGTGGATATTGAGCTCTCAGCATTAAACTGAATTAATATTACATTAAAGCAGACTCTTAAAGATTGTTCTTCAAGGGTTCTTTAGTAAAGACAATGGTTCTACATAGAACCATGAACACTCAGAGAACCATTTGCATGCTTAAATGGTTCTCTGCACCATGAAATGTTTTTCCGATTGATGGAGAATGTGTTGTATATGGTTCTACATAGAACCAGAAAGGGTTCCTCTATTGTGACAATGTCAAGCTTGTTATAGTAGAAGAACCCTTTTTGGTGCTATATAGAACCTTATACAACACATTCTCTATCTGTCTGTAGAACCATTTCACCATGAAAAGAACCATTAAATGCAAATGGTTCTTTGAGGGTTCAAGTTTCTATGTAGAACCAGTGTCTTTGCTAAAGAACCCTTGTAGAACCATCTTTTGTATGAGTGTATATGGTTCTATATAGAACCTTTTTGAAAATGGTACATGTTCTGCTATAGTTACAATGTCAAGTTTGTAATGATAGAAGAACCTTTTTTGGTGCTGTATAGAACCATTTTCAAAAAGGTTCTATATAGAATCTTCAAAGGTTCTTTTAAAGAGTATATGTGGTTCCATATATAACATTTTTTGAAAATTGTTCAATACAGCACCAAAAAGGGTTCTGCTATAGTTACAATGTTAAGTTTGTAACAATAGAAGAACCCTTTTTGGAGCTGTATAGAACCATTTTCAAAAAGGTTCTATATAGAGCCATATACAACACATTCTCCGTCATACTGAAGAACGATTTCACAATGCAAAGAACAATTTAATGCAAATGTTTATGGTTCGTCGAAGGTTCATGCTTCTGTGTAGAACCGGTGCCTATACATAGCACTTCAGTGTATTAGATCAGTCTGTTCTTATCAGTATTACTCATCGTTCTGTTTTCTAGAACGCGTCTTGTGCTGATTTAATCACTGAAGGCCTTTTTGTACAGCGTGTGAACGCTCTGCTGTGTCTGCAGTGGTCTGTGTTGTGGCGCCCCCTGTCTGCAGCACTGAGAATTTTTATATGTGACTTCACAGCAGCAAAACTGAATTAATTACCATAAATTACACCCTGAAAATGAATTTCCTCACATTTTAGAGGCCCCACCAGTGCTAATCATAATGTTTTGTATGTGAAAATGAAATAAATGATCGTTTTATTAACCCATTAATCGATCAGGGCCCGAACTTTTATTACACACCTCTATAACCTAAGAACAGCTCAGCCAGTTTACACTGAAGTCCCAGCAGTTACTGTATAATAAGCCATAGTGTGTAATGATGGATTTACAGGGGTTAATTTTCATCAGGAGAAAAGTAATATAAATGCTAATGTAAACATAATAAACAATAATAACCATATAGAAAAAAATGCAACATATCAAATTGTGTGTAAATAAAAATAATAAATGAATTAACTGATCCTAAATATCCTCCTGCATGGCTTACGGCAAGACACGCCCTGGAGAGAATGCACATGTGGGCGGAGCATGATCCACCAAAAATTCACACATTTATCCCCTTTCCCTAAATTTAGTTTTGGGCCAGGACATGTTTGACGTCTGAAGTTTTGATGACATGATAAAAGCCAAAGTCACCCAAACAGAAAAGTATAGCTTGTTCTCTTTAATTTCCTTTTTATTTGGAATTTTTTTTTATAAAATATTATCACATACGGCTCATTCTCCGTCTGGAGTGGAAATTCAGGTAGATACATTTAAAAAAAAAACTTCTTTTTCTTTCATCCCAAAACTAAATAATCTTAATATGTCCATTAACATCTCCTATTATCATAAATGCAGAAAGGAGCTTAATTACAGACATGTTCTACAGTCACTGGTGTTGTATGAATGTGGTGTAACACCAGTGACGGTGACTCCAGTGATGCTCTGGGTAAAACTGAGGATTCTGTAAACTGGCTGACTTGTTGGCTGATCAGGTGATCTTGAGCAACTATTTAAAATCAATAATAAAAATGAATATCCAGCATTATTTTGACAAACTTTTAATGATCCAGCTATTAAAGCACAAAACACCAGTGACACACAGAAGTTATGAGCTGCCTGACAAACAGAATTATTAATAAATTAATGAAGTATAGTGAGCGAGTATGACTCGCCTTCTCATGCCTTGAGATGCTTCCTCTCTGAGTCTCGACCCAAAGAAGCAGTTTAATAGAGCTGAAAATACTGTGTTACAATGTAGAATAAGAGTCCTGGTAACACCAGAGACCGAAATCTCTTTTAAAGAAATACATATTTTTTAAACGTAGTATAACGTTAATAATTTAAAAAGTAAACATGAACCTGTTTTATACAAATTCTTAAGTTAAACCTCTTAAAAATATTGTCTTATATTAAAAATGGTTTAAAAGTTGGTGTTGTGTTGAGCTGTTCTACGCACGCAGAGCGACTATGAAACAGGATAAAAGAGAAAAATCTGAGAATCATAAAGGAAAAGTGTCATTTAATCTCAGGTCGGCTGTCTAAATGTACATACTGACTTTCGGAGCTGAGCCTGATATTTTAAGCATCCTTTTAAGCCCTGAAACCTTTGTGACACGGTTTCCAGATGACCCACATCAGTTCACAGTAAGATTAACCACAACAATAATAAACACAACAAGAGCCACAAATGATTATCTAATATTTTATCTGATATAGATTATCTGATATTACATGCTAATCCATGTTTGTAGACATCAGTGAGTCATGCAGTATCAGAAACCACATCATCAAGACTATCAGAGACACTGAACAGGCAAACTTCAGACGCCTCCGCTAAACGACTACACTTGGGCTAAATGTGATTTTGGATGAGCCGTTATGTGAACTGGGGGGTTAATGCTGGTTCTCGCTGTGTTCTTGCGCAGGAGAGCGAGAATCTGGAGAAGGAGAACGCCGCTCTGAGGAAGGAGGTGAAGAGGCTGACGGAGGAGGCCAAATATCTTTCCACGGTGCTGAGCAACCACGAGCCGCTGTGCACGGGATTAAGCCACGCCCCCTCGGACCTGCTCTACGGTGCGCACGCGCCTTTCCACCAGCACATCAACGTCCCGCACTACCCGCTCTGACCGGCCACGGCGGGAGAACTTTAACGGGTTCTTTAAGTACCTTCACGAGGGCCATTGACGATTATGGGGAGGGAAAGGGCAGAACAGCGCCATCTGCTGGTTGGGTTCGAAAACATTCTGAATCACCATTTGTTTCTCCACAGGGAGAATTATAATACAGTTTATTACAGTAGCGCAGTAGCTACGAATACAGTATTTACACAGTATTTATACAGTATAATATTTACAATGCAAATGATTGTGAATACGATTGATACAACAGAGTTTATAGCCTGTATTTATTTCTGTCTCAGACCGCCGACGCGCTCTCAGCTATAACTGAACGTGGGACGCGTCGTACAGCCTGTGACGCGCATCACCTCCAATACACTGTTAAACTACGCTTTGAACGTAAACAGCAGGGGGCGCTCTGACCACTTTCCCTCCCTATGATCACGACGAGGTGAATAAAAAGATGACAAACCTACGATTCACAACTACGTGGAACAACAGATGCTTACTCACAATGTGACTACTGACGGATGAGGCCTTATGCTGCCCTCAAGTCCTGACGGAAACACCGTAATCACGAGACGCGCCGCCGTAAACGTTAGCGGGACTCTCGGATTCGTAAACGAGCCCTGAAAGCGTCGCAGATTTAAATAAAATCGTAGAACAAATGTATGGTAAAGTGTTTATTCCTGTTTTTCAGGAGTGACGCGTGAACGTTCTCACGCTAAACTGCTTTTTTAATGGCTCGTTCTCATCTACACTTTTCAGAAGGTTCTTTCAGGGTTCTTTAGTAAAGACAGTAGTTCTGTAGAACCACGAACACTCACAGAACCATTATGCATGCTTAAATGGCCCTTTGCGTGGTGAAATCGTTCTTCAGATTGATGGAGAATGTCTTGTTTATGGTTCTTTATAGCACCCAAAAGGGTTCTGCTATTGCATACAAGCATATACAATCGTAGAAGTAGAACCCTTTTTGGTCCTATATAGAACCACTTTTAAAAAGGTTTTTTATAGAACTTTATACACATTCTCTATCAATCTAAAGAACGATTTCACCATGAAGAGAACCATTTTTTTGAAAAGGGGTTCTATATAGAACCACCTTTTTAAAGACTGTATATGGTTCTATACAGAACCCTTTTTCTAAAAAGGTTATATATAGATGCAGAGAACCATTTTTTGAAAGGGGTTCTATATAGAACCACCTTTTTTAAAACTGTATAGAACCCTTTTAAAAAAACATGTTTTGAAAAAGGGTTTAGAACCATCTTTTTAAAGACTGTATATGGTTCTATATAGAATCCCTTAAGCATGCAAATGGTCTAATGATCTAAATTTTCATGGTTTCATCTAGAACCATTTACTAAAGGTTCTTTACTAAAGAACCTTTTAAGAACCATCTTTTTAAGAGTGTCTGTGATGATTTTTTTCACTCTTCAATGCAAAACATTACTGAACACTGTATTCTCAGCTCTCGCAGTAGCACAAACCCCTTTTCTTTAACGATTAAATTATTAAAAAGTGTCGCAAAAATATCATGATACTACTTATTTTCCTGATATGCGACATGTTTAGTCTGATAAGTTGGAAAAGATGAAAAAAAATATAATAATATAAATATTATTTATATATACTATCCAAAACTATGAGTGCAGTGATTTTCGCAAAGCGCCTCTCTGTCCACAAGGGGGCGCCATAAACAGTAAAATAGGTCTGTAAAAGCATAGCTTAACAGCGCATCAATAACTGATCACAATATCGACAGATATCATCACGTCGCCCATGTGTTTTGTTTAACGACCACTTAAACAAATGTCACATAGTACTTACGAACAACTTACGAACAAGTTACGAACTTCCGAGGGGCTTGAAGGCGGCATTAGTTCTGCTCCATACATATCCTAACGACAAAAACGATGACTTATGTTTGTTCTTTGTGGAATAGAAAGTATTTTATGATAAAATGAGTAAATAAATGAATAAATAATAAATGAATAATGTATCTTTTTAATTGTTGCTTTGAACTGAATGTTTTTGGTGCATGACGATGACGTACTGAATGTGTTTACTGTGTTTACTTCTACGCTAGTGTTCACAAAGCCAGCAGTCGAGTGTTTTACTCCTCACCAGTTTCCTGTCCGGCCGTTTCTCTGGACAGTCATGATTGTGTGATTCTTTACGCTGTGCAGGTTCAGAATTTACAGATGTTTCCGTTTGTTTGTTTTTCTTTCTTTCCGATGACTTAGTCTGCTGAAGATTAGGTGTTTACACTATGCCTTGATTGACTGAATTTTGGGACTTTCGGACAGCCGCGCCAGTGACCAGAGACCTTTTCACCACCTGCTGCCAAATCACACTGACCGCTTTACTGTCTGTCTGTCTGTCACTGAGTGTCTGACGTGAAACCTCAGTTTGAGGAGATCTTTAAAAAAATAAAATAAATGATTCAAACGATGTGTTTATTACTGTTATTACTACACCTAATAAACCTGCTGATAGAGTTTATAACAGAGAGAGAGACAGAGAGAGAGAGAGAGAGAATAGAGAGGGATGGAGAGAGAGAATAAGGAGGGATAGATAGAGAGAGAATAGAGAGGGATGGAGAGAGAGAATAAGGAGGGATAGAGAGAGAGAGAGAGAGAATAGAGAGGGATGGAGAGAGAGAATAAGGAGGGATAGAGAGAGAGAGAGAATAGAGAGGGATGGAGAGAGAGAATAAGGAGGGATAGATAGAGAGAGAGAGAATAGAGAGGGATGGAGAGAGAGAATAAGGAGGGATAGAGAGAGAGAGAGAATAGAGAGGGATGGAGAGAGAGAATAAGGAGGGATAGATAGAGAGAGAATAGGGAGGGATTGAGAAAGAAAGAAAGAAAGAGAGAGACAGAATAGGGAGAAATAGAGAGAGAGAGAGAGAGAGAGAGAGAGAGAATAGAGAGAATAGAAAGAGACAATAGAGAGAGAGAGAGAAAGACAGATAACAGGGAGAGATAGAGGGGGAGATAAAAAAGAGAGAGTACACTGAGGAAGAGAAGGGGAGAAAGGGAAAGAGAAAAAGAGTTTAGGGGAGAAAAGGAAAAAAGATGGAGGAAGAAAGAAAAACAGAGAGAGAAAGATTGAATATGGAGGCATAGAGAGAGAATTGGGAGAGATGGGGAGAGGAGAGAGAGAGAGAGAGGAGAGAGAGAGAGAGGAGAGAGAGAGAGAGAGAGAGACAGAGAGAGAGTACACAGAGGAAAAGAAGGGGGAAAAAGAGTAAGAGAAAAAGGAAAGAGAGATGGACAGCAAGAGAAAGGAGAGAGAAAAAAGTGTAGGGATGAAAAGGAAAGAGAGAGATGGAGGGAGATAGAAAACAAGAGAAGGAGAGAGAGAGTACAGAGAGAGATAGAAAATGAGAGAGAGAGAGAGAGAGAGAGAGAGAGAGAGAGTCTATGTAGGGACAGAGAGAGTAATGAGAGAGGAGAGAAAAAAGGAAAAGAGAAAGATGGGGCACCGAGAAAGAGGGAGGGGGAGAGAAAAAGAAAAAGTAAGTGAAACGAAGAGAAAGAAAGAAGGAAAAAGAGAAAGAGAAGGGGAAAAAAGGAAAGAGAGAGCAAAAGAAAGAGAGAGGGAAGGAAAGAGAAACAGAGGAGAGAGCGAGACAGAGATTAAGTGATCTTCAGCTGCAGATTACAGGGGACTGCAGCGCCCCCCTGTGTTCACTCTGCTGCATTGAAACTAGGGGCTCTTTTCCCTTTTTAGTCATTTTACCGCCAGTTAAACATGCTGTGAATATATGTAAATGAGCTCTGTGAATATATGTAAATAAGCTCTGTGAATATATGTAAATGAGCTCGATGAACATATGTAAATAAGCTCTGTGAATGTATGTAAATGAGCTCTGTTCTGACTGGCTGGGAGAAAGAGAAGTTGATCATGTAAATTAGGACTGATATTGGTACACAAAACCACAAGCATAACCATAACCTTAGTGTGTCTGTGAATAAATTAAAATATTAAATGAAATATGAATAAATTACATAAATGTGAGACAAATGTAGCACATTAGCCCTTTAATAAGTACGCCGCCCTGCTGGTGACATCCTGTATAAATGGAAATAATGCGTTAGTAAGACGTGGGATAAGATAATTAAGTCGTGGCCACGACTTAGTGATCTCGTTCCCATGGCCACGACTTAACTGCCTCATTCCCATGCCTTACTAAGTTGTGGCCATGCCAATATTAACACGTGGGAACGAGATCCTAATGCATACGCATTATTTTTATTTACTAACTAATTTATTTAATAAGACCCCCTCAACACCCAAAGACCACCCGCCCCCACACCCAACCTTTGTTATTAGTGTAAGTGCTACAAAATACCTCTGGAGATCCTCCAATGGAGCAAAGCATCTCTATTACAGTTGTGTCTGAGCTTTACTCCAGTCCAGCCGACGCTTGGCACTGTGCATAGTGACCTTAGTCTTCTGTGCAGCTGCTCAGCCGTTGAAGCCCATGAAGCTCCTGGCGCTCAGTTCTGTGCTGACGTTGCTTCCAGAGGCAGTTTGGAGCTCTGTAGTGAGAGAAGAAACAAAGGATAGGGAATTCTTACTTATTATGGGCCTCATTCTCCCAAATCGTCCTAAGTCTGTTCTTAAGTGTGTTCTTGAGAAAGGTCCTAAGAAAAAGTCTACGTCTGGTCCATGATGTGTTCTTGAAGCGTAGAACTGTTCTCACCTTTGTGCTCTTGAGTCTGTGTAGATTCTGTTCTTACCTAAGAACAAATCCCAGATAAGAAAACACTGGTGAGTCAGAAAGTTCGTGAAAACGGCGGTCTAGTCATAGATATACAGACCTAGATGCCGCGTTGGGTCCAGCCAGGCACGTCAACGGCGCCGCCATTTTGGGGCGGTCAGCATCGCTGCTGGACTGCATTCAGTACCATTACAGAGAGGCAGTTTAAGAAAGATACTGTCCAAAATTACACTATTTCAATAATATTACACTCAGAAAGAGGGACAGGATTATATAACGGAGGGAACGCAGTGATCCACACTCATGTCTGTGTGATGTTTGTGGTTGGTGAAGCTCAGAGAACCTGTTGATGTGATTGTTTTTCCTCTGGTTTTATATTAAGCTCATTTCATTTAATAGTCTATTCAGGATCTTAACTTTATGTAGTAGTTATTTATTTACAATGATGGTTAATGTGCTGTAGCAGTAAGTTATAGCATTAATCCGTGTAGATATTCATAATAGATTAATGTTAGAACCTTCTGACACGAACCTGAAGTCAGATTCGTATTCGCCAGCTTCCTGTTCGAATTTTCCCGTTCCACCTTAAATGGTGCTGAGGCGCCAGAATGCAGCTGCTGCGCCGTTTAAGGTGGAACGGGTAATTCGGATAAAAAATCGGGCTAAAAGGAAGACAAATCTAGCTTCATCGAAAGTTCTAGATAAGTTACAAAATTTGAACGAAGAGAACGATGACGATGATCTTTTCATCTGACAGATGATTAATCGGGTGGATTAACGTCATCCATGAACGATTCTTCCAGAAAAGGAGGCAGAAAAGAGCAGGCTGTGTCCCAAACGGCTCCAGGCTCCCTGTGTAGCGCATGTTAAACTAGGGCACCTCCACCGAAATAGTGAATTATATGTCAGTAAGAAGCCGTGCAGCCTGTGGCTGAATCCCAAATGACCCTCTATTATACACACAGCGCCCTGTTTGGGTGTAGAAGATGTTAGTATATGAGCTACGTAGTGCACTAGATAGGGAGGAGGGAGCGATTTGAGACGGAGCTAAACAGAGAATCACTCGTTCGTCCCACTGAAACTCTCACCAGTAAACACGAATAAACACCAGTAAACACCAATAAACAGCAACAAACATCACCAAATGTCTCAGAAACGGCCATTTTCTAACAGTTTTTAAAGTTTACAGGGTAAAATATACAACAGATCCAAAAGACTGAGACCACATGCAGCTGGAGTGAACACTGCCATTACAGCAAAAGGGAAACACCACCAAATACTAAGAAATTCTG